TTTTTTGGGGGGGAGAAAAACACACCGGGGATGGGAAAATATAAAAACCCGAATTAGGACGACGAGAGCCCCGAATAGTGTGTTTTTAAGAAGCAACAAAACCGCGCGGCACAAGGGTGTCTTGTTTTTTTCTTCCCCCCCCCCCTCCCCTGGGGGGCCGAAAAAAAGGGGGGGAGACGGCCCCTGGGGCCTTCCCGGGGGGCGCGCAGAAAAGGTTTTTTTCTGGACGGGAACAGAGGGGGGCGGGTTTCTTTGTAGAAAGTGAAAGCAGTGGGAGGCTTCTCAGGATGCCTCTCAGATGGTTTTCTCAGTGGTAGTAGGAGAGAGCCGGGTCAATGGCAGCAGCAGCAGGAGCAGCAGAGGGAGGAGGATGGAGGATGTCCTCTTCGTCGACGACGTCCTCGACCGTGGGCCCCTGAGCGGCCTCCTGGGCGTGTTTGGCCATGAGCTCCTCCGCGCGAGACTTGGGGGCGCCGTTGACGATCATGCCTGTGTTCTGGGTCTGAGACAGCATGGCGAGAGCAGAGTTGTTCGTAGTATCCGTGTACCGTTCTACCAGCCGTTAATCACTGCTATAGACGTCAATGGAAGGGGAGGAGGTAGAAGGAGAGGCTACTTAGTGGTTATCGAGCAGGTCGTGTGCTAGAAGCAGGAGAGACAGCAGAGAGAGAGAAACGGGGGCTTGAGCAGGGCGAGCAAGATCACTCCATCGTCGAGCGGCTCTACCAACGCATTCACAGGGGACAATTCAGGGAGGACAGAGAGAGAGAGGGAGAGAAGAGGGCGTTGGGAGGTTGGACGAGGAGGTTGACGGTTGAAGGTTGAAGATCGCGATGTTTCTTCTTCTTCCTTTTCTTGTTCCGGAAGTCAAAAGTCGAAGTTGCAGCTGAGGCGACGTTGCAAGAGCTTAGTCAGCACGAAGTAGAAGAAGAAGCAGAAGCAGAAGAGAGTAAAAGATGACAGTAAAGATGACAGAAAGAGGGTCAAGGGAGAAGAAGATGTTTGAGATGGAGGTAAGGGAAGAGGAGATGAGCATGGCCTGACTTCTTCTGCTCTTCTACCATCTCTCTCTGTCTGTCTACTACTGTATTTCTACTGTCTACTACTACTTCGTATGTATAACTAGGTGACCTGTCTTATCAAGAGCCAAGATGAAACAGAAGTCAGGCAGAGCAACCAAACAGGCAATATTAAAGAGTAATAAGTAATTAAGTAAAAGAGTCAAGGGTAAAAGTCGAACATGGAGTAAGAGAAGAAGTAGAAGAGAAGCAGTGGTGGTAGTAAGAGTAAGAAGCAGCAGCAGTAACTAAACAGTAGCAGTAGTCGAAGAAGGCTCTCTCTCTCTCTCTCTCTCTCTCTCTCTCTCTCTCTCTCTCTTACTCTCTCTCTCTCTTTTACTCTTTTACTCTACTTCTACTTCCTCCTGTCTCTTACCAGCGGCTTCTTCTTCTCTTCTCTTCTCTTACTCTCTTACTCCTTATCCACTTACTTACTCCTAGTCTTTATTTACTCCAACTTTACTCTTACTTACGTACGCCTTCAGTCACTTACTCCTTCACTCTCTTCTCTTCTACCTTCACTTCATCACTTCTAATGTAATTAATGTAATTAATGTAATTTAAAAGGTAACTTTTACCCCAGTTAAAATTAAAAAGAGAGAAGTTAAAGTAAAAGCATCTTGTAACTTATGCTAAGCAACCTAACTTCCCACCTGGCCCGGACCCTGTAACCGTCTGTAACCGTCTGTCACTTACCGTACATGACACGACTTCTCACTCTTTCTTACTGCTCTTCTCTGCCTCTGTTACGACTACTTCTTCACTGGAGTACGTGTCATGACAAGACGATACCATCTCATCCCCTCCTCTTCCTCTCTGCTTCTTCTTCTTCTTCTTCTCCTGCAATTTGCTTGCTTGACTTCGGGTTTTGGGCCTCTTGACTTTTTATGGCTTGAACTTTTTACTTCTTCTTCTTCTTCACTACATCTTCTGCTGCTTCACTAGTTAAACGTCTTTCTTCTCTTCTTCTTCTTTAGTTACTCTGTTCACTCCCTTCGTCTGCTTCTTCTTCGTCTTCTTCTTCTGCTGTAACTGCTACTGTTTAACTAACTTACCTGCCCGGAGCTCACAAGCTCAACCTCCAACTTCCAGGCCAACTTCACCACTTCCGGACTCAGGCATCACAACTTCAACTTCTACCAACTTCAACCTCACGATGGACTCCGAGCCATCGGCCAAACCACACCGTCCGACCTCCAAACTACACAAGCAGCCGCCCAGCTTCCTCCAGTCCTCGTCCTCCTCGTCGTCCAGCCCGCTCTCTTCCCTCACCAACCTCACCTCGCCATGGTCCGTCAGGAAGAAGCACTCCTCGACCTCGCTGCAGCGCCATCCCTCTGCCCCCGTCTACCCGCGTTCTTTCTCGGACAGAGAGCGGGAGCGCGACCAGGGCCGCGAGAGAGACCACTCCCGCACCCGCTCCACTAACTTCACCTCCTCATCGGCCTCCGTCGACCAGTTGGGTGGTACTAACAGTGGCAGCGGTAGTGGAAGTGGTGGTGGTGTCAACGGCGTCGACTTTGGGCGCTTACAGTTGGTCCAGGGCCAGAACAACAACACAAATACCAACAGCAACAACACACAGATGATGCAGAACCAGAACGGAAGAGTGTCGAGTTCCATGGGCGAAGAAGACGATGTTCCCTCCACCTCTCACTCCGGAAGCATCAACGAGATGTCGGAAGACAGCAGCATGATGGGCATGGGGATGGGGATGGGGATGCCCAGTCGGCCGCCCATGCCGCAGAGCTACAGATCCAGCCCGGAGGTCTCGCCTAGCCTCAACCACTCCGCTGGCTTTCCCGGTCCCGGTCCTGGTCCTACCAGCACGCCCGCAGCAGGCCTCGCTGCCCAGCTCAATCGGCACTCAGACGAAGGGTCTAGCGCTTCACCGGTCAACCCCATTGCTCAGAACAGTAACAGTGGCAGTGGTACAACAAGTACAGGCACAGGCGGAGGCGGTGGAGGTGGAGGCAGCAGGCTGTCACTGAGCAGGAAGAAGACCGGATTCAGCAACTTTGTCAACAGCATGCTGGGCTCGCCCAGGAATATCAAGATCTCTGCGCCTGAGAACCCGGTCCATGTCACCCACGTCGGCTTTGATAACCAGACCGGACAGTTCACCGTACGCATTCACTCTCTATATTCTCTATGTTCACTACTTGTTCACTCACTATATTTATTTATTTATCCACGCTAACTATGTTACAGGGCCTGCCAAAAGACTGGCAACGCATGCTGCAGGAGTCCGGAATCTCAAAGAAAGAACAGGAACAGCATCCGCAGACAATGGTTGATATCATGAAGTTCTATGAAAAGAACGCCGCGGGACGTGATGACGACGGCGTCTGGCACAAGTTTGATAACGCCAGGCTCGCGGCTGCCACCGACCACCACTACAGCCAGGTCACGCCCATAAACACAACCACTACTTCCCCTCGGTTCCCGCAGAACCACGAAGGGAGCTTTGAGAACCCTCGCGCGCCTCCTCCCATCCCCAGACAGGCTCCTCTAGCCTCCCCGCCGCCGCCTGCTCCTCCCACGCCCTCCGCTTCTTCTTCTTCTCCTTCTGCAGCTCCCACCTCGGCGCCCTCGTCGGCTCCAGCCTCCGGATGGGTCCCCAATCGAGCTGCTCCAAAGGCCCCCAGACCTCCACCGCCACAGCCATTGATTACTCCGACAGCTATAGGCAGTCCCGCTCTCCTTCCCTTTGGCGTCCAGACTATACCCGAAGCCGTTCCTTTGCCATCTACCTCTGCACCAACCCCAACAACCACTCCGCCAGCCACTGCTACCAGGAGCCGCTCCAATTCCAATGCCAATGGCGGCATCAGTCCCGGTGGTCTCTCTCGCAAGCCTTCTGCTGCCATCACCTCGCCTGCTGTCTACCAGCAGATGCAGGAACAGGCCATCACCGCTGCTCAGCAGGCCATTACCAACAAGCAGATTGAACGGTCGAGAAGTATGAGACAGCAGCAGCAGCAGCAACAGGCTCAACAACAGATACCCGAGCAATCTCCCATTGATCACACGGCTCCTGACGCGCACTACCCTCATGCCCAGCCCCAGAACTACCCTCAACCACACCCCCAGGGCCCACGAGTCGTTCCAAACCCTGTCCCAGTCCCAGCACACGCCCCTGTCCCGGGGTCGGCCCAGATGCATCCGCAACATCAGCAGCAACAACAACACCAACAGCAGATGCAACTTCCCCCCGGGGCCTCCGCTCGTCCGCGTGTCCGCCCCCGCCAGCCCCCTACCCCCACGATCGACATCCGCGCCCGTCTCAACACCATCTGCACAAACGGCGATCCCACCCGCAATACCGCAACCTCCACAAAATCGGCCAAGGAGCATCTGGCTGGCGTCTACACTGCCTACGAGATCGGCACCAACTACTGCGTCGCCATCAAGCAGATGAACCTCGAACTGCAGCCCAAGAAGGACCTCATCATCAACGAGATCCTGGTCATGAAGGAAAGCAAACACAAGAATATCGTCAACTACATGGACTCTTTCCTACATGGCGGAGATCTCTGGGTTGTCATGGAGTATATGGAGGGAGGCAGTCTGACGGACGTCGTTACTTTTAACATCATGACCGAGGGACAGATTGCCGCTGTCTGTCGAGAGGTAACGCTCCATCCCAACGTACTTATCCATACATTCATTCTAACATGTTCTAGGTCCTGCATGGTCTCCAGCATCTCCATTCAAAGGGCGTTATTCACCGAGACATCAAATCAGACAACATCCTCCTCTCCCTCGAAGGAAACATCAAACTAAGTAAGTCCCTAATCACTCCCTACCAAAAGTCATTTCTAACATCCCCCAGCCGACTTTGGTTTCTGCGCCCAAATAAACGACGCACACCACAAACGCAACACAATGGTCGGAACCCCCTACTGGATGGCCCCCGAAGTAGTCACCCGCAAAGACTACGGCAGAAAAGTCGACATCTGGTCCCTAGGCATCATGGCCATCGAGATGATCGAAGGTGAACCGCCATATCTCACCGAGTCGCCTCTCAGAGCCCTCTACCTGATCGCCACGAACGGAACTCCCACCATCAAAGACGAGCAGAACCTCTCGCCTGTCTTTAGAGAGTTCTTGGCCATGGCGCTTAAAGTTGATGCAGAGAAACGTGCCTCAGCGCATGATTTGCTCAAGGTAGGATCCTGTTTGTTTACAATAATATGTCCGCGTTACTAATGCGTTTGTAGCATCCTTTCATGGGCTTCTGTGAACCACTTACTAGTCTAGCGCCGCTTGTCAAGGCCGCGCGCGTTAATAGAGCGCAGGAAAAAGCACAGAAGGGCGGCGCTTAACTCTGTCTATGCCACGCATAGTATCAACAAGTATACTATAACGCCATCACAACCGTTCACATCTGGCCCCCTTTTTTTCACTTCTATTTGCCCCCCTTTTTATTTCACTTTTATTCTACTTTATTCTACTTTCACCTTCACCTTCACCCTTTACTCTTTTACTCTTGATATCTCTTACACCGTATACTATACTCCATACACTTCTTGCTCTTCCTCTTCTTCTCTTCTCCCGAACTCCACTCTGCGATACCCACAGACTCACTACTACCGCATTTTTTTTCATGACTTCTTCCCTTCTTGCCTGCTTTCTCTTCTCCAGGTTATTCGGTTCAGATAGATCGGTTTTCTCCCCGCCCCTTGATGCGTTCCCTTTTCCTTGCCTGCTTGCTTCTGCTTCTGCTTTACTCCTGGGAATGAATGGATCGGTGGACAGACAGGTGGTATGTCTATGCTATGGTACGTCCAGGCCAGAAGATATGAGATGAGATGAGACGACGCACACCCGCTTAGCTTGACCAAGCAATACACAGCTACCGATACTCTACTTCTGCCCCCCTGTTACCTTTTTTCGATACGATATGCCCCTGTCCCGCCTGCGAACCGCGAAATATAAGTTATACGTGACATGAATATGAGATGTGATTTCCTCTTTCCTCCCCCCTTTGCTTCTGCTTGCTCTCTGCGGCTCGATATGCCACCGCCCACGATAAAAGAAGCTGTGTTCCGTATGAAATGGTCCCCTTAAAACAAAAATAACAGCGACGAATTTCCTTCTGCTTTTCTTCCTCCGGTTTTTCTTCCCTTTGTCCCTTTTCTCTATGGGCTTTTTCATCCCCCTATTGCCATGGCTGTGGCTATGGCTATGGTTATGGCTATCCTACTATCCATCTAGCTATGTACTCGACTCGTCTTACGTCTTATCCTAGTGTGCCATTATCTATCTGCTTCTTCTTACCCATCTCGCTACCAATAGATGCAGTCCATCAGTTCAAGCAATAGAACCAACATCTAACCCCTTGCTTTGTTCCCTTGATCAACCGCTTACATAAGTTCCCACATCCTTAGCCACTTCTTACGTAATGCATTACTTGCCGCGCCACAAACGCGCTCAGCCCACGCGCTGACGTAATATAATCCGTCACCGGCTTTGATGCAAAGCAGAGCAAGCAAGACAAGGCAGCACCGTCACATCAACGTCGCTTTACGCACGAACGCAGCACTGCTCGACTCGACTCGACGGAGGAAGATATACATACTTATACCGCCCTCATCCCTTGCCCGGCGTTGTATCCCGTACGATCTCGGAATCACATAGCTAGGTAGCTAGCTAGCTAATTTAACTATCTATCTATCTGGTTGCCTGTGCGGGGTTTGGCGCCGTACCTTACATACATACCTCCACGAACGAGCGAACGAACGAACGAAGCGGGTTGAAGGTGATATAGGGAGCTGCTAGATATGTTTCGTGTGCAGCAGAATTCATTCGATGATGCTGTCGGTACGTTAGCGGAGGCAGAAGCCAACTGGAGAATGGAGATGGCTAACGGTGTTCGCTACTATAGCTAAAGCGACGGATGAGAATCTGACGTCGGAGAATTGGGAGTATATTCTGGTACGAAGCGAAATGATGGTTTAGCTTATGCCTGGATTGTGTTAGCTGACGAACGGCGGTGGTAGGATGTCTGTGATAAAGTGTCGTCGGATAGCTCTGGGTAAGTAAGGTCGTGTGTGTTGCGGAGCGAGGGCGAAGTTTGCTGATGGGATGCAGTGCGAAAGATGCCGTTGCTGCACTGATACGAAGACTTGCGCATCGAAATGCGAATGTTCAGCTTTATACACTTGAGGTATGCGTGGGTGGGCATGTTGTTTTCAGTTGGGAGAGTATGCTGATAGTGTATAGCTTGCGAACGCCCTGTCACAGAACTGCGGACAGAAGGTATACCAGGAGCTGGCCTCTAAGAGCTTTACAGATGCGCTTCTACGACTTGCAAACGATAGGGTAGGAGCTTATCCTGGCCATGAAGAACCGTTAAAACCCACACCTGCTGACGGACGTTCATAGAATACCCACCAGCAAGTAAAGTCGAAGATACTAGAACACATAGAGCAATGGACGGAGATGTTCTCTAGTAATCCCGACCTAGGCATCATGGAACAAGCCTACCTTAAGCTCAAGTCTCAGAGTAAGCAAGCATCCGTTGAGGAAATGCGAGGACCTCCGATTGGTTTCCAGACTAACGGGCCGTAGACCCAAACCTTCAACCCCCGTCCAAACCGACCAAGCGCGAAATAACAGAGTTGGACAGACTAAAGGAGGAAGAAGAGCTGCAGATGGCCCTTGCGCTATCTGTCAAGGATAAACAGCCCGCTACCGACCAGCAGCCCTCCAACAGCGGCGAGTCTTCCCAGCAAACCTCTGCGGCAGGTCCGTCAAATACTACATCTACATCCCAGCCTACGCCCATTGCATCAGGCACCACCGCTGCAACCGTCTCTCGTGTTCGAGCACTATACGATTTCCAGCCTTCAGAGCCTGGCGAGCTTCAGTTCCGAAAGGGCGACGTTATCGCTGTTCTGGAATCGGTTTATAAGGACTGGTGGAAGGGCTCTCTCCGCGGCCAGACCGGTATCTTCCCTCTCAACTATGTAGAGAAGCTCTCGGATCCCACGCAAGAAGAACTTCAGCGCGAAGCACAGATGGAAGCCGAGGTGTTTGCAGAGATCAAGAATGTCGAGAAATTGCTCGCCCTTCTTAGCACGAGTAACTCGGAACTCAACGTGCAGGAGAACGAAGAGATAACTACCCTCTACCATTCGACCCTAGCTATTCGGCCGAAGCTGATTGAGTTGATTGGCAAGTACTCCAAGAAGAAAGGTATGTCGTTTGACGTTTCCTATGATTCGGACAGCGAACTAATGTGGATAGATGACTTTACGCAATTGAATGAAAAGTTCATCAAAGCTCGTCGAGACTATGAGGCTCTGCTTGAAACCTCAATGGCGCACCCTGGACAGCCACAATTTGGCCGCCCCCCGCCCCAAGCTACCTATGGATACCCGCCTCCTGGGGTACAGCAGTATCCTCCTGGCCCATCGCAGCCTGATCAGCGGTACTTTACTCCGCGTCCAGGTAAGGAATCACGAAGCTCTTCAACTCCGAGCCGTTGTGCTCATGCTGATGATACTTATAGGAGCTCAAAATGCCCCGCCCTCAAATGACCCTTCGGCATACTATGGCGCTGGCGCTGAACAATCCGGCCCACCATACCCGTCTGCCGCGTCGCCCGAGAATAGAAATCGTACCCCTGTCCCAGGCCAGCAGGGTCAAGATGCTTACAGCAACCCACAGACACAGTATACCATACAGACCAAGCTAGACCAGCCACAGGAACTTAGCACATCGGCATATGACTCTCCCCAAACAGCCACCAACCCTAATGCCAGACTCTCCTACCACGCACCAATGCACGAATCCCAGCCCTCCACAACCCACCCACAGCACTACCAACACCAGCAACCACCCGTCACCTACCCACCACCAGGCACCGCATCTGCACCCGCACCTGACTTCAACAACCAACCTGTCCAGACTGTCCCTCCAGGTTCGAACCCTCAATACCCCCCTCCACAAGACCAGTCACAGCAACAACCACAGCATGGCCCCCCGCCAACCCACCAGCCTCCTTCAATCCCACAGTCCACTTCCCCACAACCTGGCTACCCAAGCTACCCGGCGCCAGTTCCATCTGCCCCCGGAGCTCCCACGGGCTACCAACCTTACCACCCCCAGCAACAACCTGGTGGACCAGCAAACCCTAACGCAAACCCCGGCCGATACTACCGATGATGATGATGATGATGATGCTTCTTTAGTCTCAATGTTCTTGTACTCATCTACGCTCACTATATCTTTATTTGGTCTGGGTAATTTGGAGGAGCTTTCTTTCGCCAAATTAAGAGTGTTTATAAACTTGCTGGGGAAACTATGTACCTTCTAGCGTCTTTATTTGGGTCTATATCTTCCTGGTCTTCACTTTAAGTCTGGTATACCCGCCTCAATATAAAAATGTCATCTCTTTCTCACTCACTATTCAGGGGCAAGGCGCTCTACTATCGAACTAATAAAGTTCCAGATCTCGATAAAGTGGAAAGTTAGTAAGCGCTTCGGTCCGAAAAACTTTAAAACTTCACCTTCTCATTGGCCAGGTTTCTCAGCCCCTGGATTATTCATCCGAAATCGGTCCACCGGATACGCAAGGCTTGAATAAATAGGCAACGCCCTTATTGCCCTCAAAATCAACCTCGAACACGCAACCAGCACTGCGATGTGATTAGGAATATGGCGGAAGGTTACGTTCCCGTCGACAACGATGATGATGACGACTCACATAGTATACGCTCGGCTCACGTAGCACCAGACGACCATACCATCGAACAAGGCTTTGAAAATAACCCCGTCAGTGCATCCGTGTTGATCGGCTCGGGCATTTCGCTCCACCCCGACCACGGCATCAACGGCGCACCTTCAAGCAGCCTCCTGTACACTTGTGCTAGAGAAAGTGAAAGCGATACTCTTCTAGAACATCATTCACATGTACCGGTAAGGCGCCAATCACAATTTAAACATGCATGCATGTAGAGCCCGTTGCAAAGTCAACTGGGCACAATCCACGCCGCGGCTTCTCGGATCCCGGTCGATCGATAAGTTCAAATGTTAACTAACCATCCTTTTCTGGTATTAGCAACAGCATGGCTGGGCCTCGTTATGGTTCGTGGAACATTCTTGAAAACACGCCGGTGTAACTTCACTTGTTAATCTGAAATTTTAGGCTCGCGTACCAGTCTATTGGCGCTATATATGGAGACATCGGAACGAGTCCTCTCTACGTCTTTTCAGCAACGTTCTCTAGCCAACCGGTTCTCATTGATTTGATTGGTGTTTTGTCACTTATCATTTGGGCTTTGTTGCTCATTGCTACCATCAAGTATGTCGGCATAGTGCTTTGTGCGAATGATAATGGAGAAGGAGGCTCGTTCGCCTTGCTATCTATTATTCGGAGACATGTAAGTTACCTTGCTTCTTGGAGAGGACAAGACAGAGATATGGTCATATATTTGGGAACTAACAATGATAAAATAGGTACATCTTGATTGGCGTGATGCTAAAGCTAAGCTTGAGGATGACTGGAGGGATGTCAAGATGGATGATACATTGGGTTTCAATGGATATGTTAAACGATGGCTGGCGAATAGCTCTGTTGCCAAACGTGCAATTACCGTGCTTGCCGTGCTTGGTGTCTGCATGGTTATGTCAGGTACTTTCGTCCAGACTCCTTAACTATCCCTTTGCCAGGGGAGACTAACGGATCATATAGATAGTGTGTTAACTCCAGCACAATCCATTCTCGGTGCTGTACAAGGTAAATCTTTCAACACCAGCTGCTTTCGTTCTCTCCAGCTGACAGTCCTGATTGTAGGCATCCAGATCGCAGCACCAGATGTTCCATCCCGTACTATTGTGGGCATAACTTGCGCCCTGATAGTCATTCTATTTGCACTACAGCCGATAGGAACATCAAAGCTGAGCAATTACTTTGCTCCTATTGTCACTATTTGGCTCTTATGCAATACAGTCTTTGGCTTAATTGTTCGTATCCCCTAAGTATTCCACATGGGACTCTCAAGACTAACTAGTATAGAACCTGGCGTTGTATGACCATACCGTCTTGAAAGCTTTTTCTCCCACGCATGCTATTTCATTCTTGCTTCGGAATGGGTTCTCAGGCTGGAGATCGCTTGGTGGTGTTCTCCTCTCATTTACAGGTCGGTTGTCTTACTCCTGCATTAAAAAGGTCATACTCACGGGATTGTTCCCTAGGTGTTGAAGCATTATTCGCCGATCTAGGTGCATTCTCAGCAAGGTGAGTATTTATACAAGGACTTTCAATACCTGCTGGCACTGCTAATGGATAAATCCACAGGGCTATTCGGTTCTCGTGGCTTTGCTTTGCGTTGCCATGCTTGTTAATTATATACAGTGGTCAAGCAGCGTATATCAGTGAGCACCTGGACGCTTTCGAGAATCCGTTATTCAAGTCGGTCCCTCCAGGGCTATACTGGCCTACCTTGGTACTGTCTATGATTACCTCGATCATTGCATCCCAAGCCATGCTCACTGGTAGCTTTCAATTGATATCCCAGGCTGTTCGGCTGGGGTATCTTCCAAAGCTTACTCGTGTGCATACATCAAAGAGAATAGCCAGTCAGATATATATACCCCTGGCAAACTGGTTTATGATGGCTTGCGCGCTTGCTGTTACGATAGTATATCAAAACGTAAGTACCCCACTGCCCGTGGTAGGCCACTTTCGTTTTGACTGACTTCAGTAGACAACTCGTCTTGGGAATGCTTATGGTGTCTGTGTGGTTGGGGTTAGCTTCATTACAACCTGGCTGGTGACGCTGGTCGCTATTGTTGTCTGGAACGTCCATTATCTGATAGTGATTCCGATCTCACTATTTATCGGACTAGCTGACACCTTATTTCTCTCCGCTGCTCTGGCCAAGGTGCCATCTGGCGGTTGGTTTACGCTTGTCCTAGCTGCGGTGCTAACAACAACTCTGCTGGTATGGAGTTATGGAGAAGGGTCCAAATGGGCTGCACGGAAGGACGAGAGAATATCCCAAGCAGTGGTGTATCCAAACCAGAATGGCCAACTGATACTGCGTGAGGAGGGTGTGGACCAACCGGTAAAGAAAATAAAAGGTCGGCAGTGCCTATCCATATACAAAGCCATGGTCTTACAGGGAGGTGCTAACTTTGATAATGCAGGGATTGGGGTGTTTCTGACTGACCACGACGCCGGGTCGCCGTCCGTGTTTAAACACTTTGTGCACAAGTTCGAGTCGATACACGAGATATCTATACTTCTACACGTTAAGCGTGTCCTACAGTACACAGTTAGTAGCATGCCTACCATTCTTTTTTTATAATTGCCCGTCTAACCCGTATCTTGCAGGTAGCCGATGAGCGCCGATTCACCCTACGACAAACAGGAATTCAGGGACTGTTTCATGTCACCTTGCAATACGGCTACGGTGACATCGTGTCCTGGAATTCATTTGAAAGAGACATCCTAAGCGAACTTGGCACCATCACTCCTGCATGTCGGGATGACCACGGCATAGAGTCTCCCACGCTCTCCCCCATCGCCGAGGAGCCCACTGCGATACCACTCACCACCAAGAGACCCTCTACGAAATCCATCACGTATATAGTCGGGAAGGACAAAATATACCTTCTCCCAACCTCCAATTTCGTTCGGCGAGTTTTCCTATGGGCGTTCATCCACCTGAAGAACCGCGAGAAGACGAAGCTAGATCATCTGAACGTTCCGGTGGATAGACTACTGGAAATCAAGTTCTCTAAGGGAATATAAACGGGCGTGGAAACAGGCGTATGGAGTTATAGGCTCATCATCTGTTTTATATAGACTACTTAATAATAACTGGAGAAATGCTTTGATTTACATCCGCCCCTTTTCCAAGCCCCCTATCTTGTCCCTTTTCTCCTTCTGGCTGTCACATGCATGACTAAGCAGTTACTTTGATGACTAATGGTCTTTCGGTACAACTTTCTTCCTTAACATTAATCAGCGTCGTCTGATTGGCCAAAGAAAATCAGGTCACCTCGGCTTCTTTTTTTCTCTGCAGCGAAAAAAAGAAAAAGAAGAAGAAGAAGAAGATAAACAAAAGTGGCCGAAAAGACGTTGAAAACAAACGGTTTCGTGGCTTTTGTTACTATTCACTATAGTATATATGTAGGATATAGATGCCTATCAGGTGCGCTGCGCTTTAGTCACAGATTACAACTGAATAATATCCGCAGTGTTAATCGTCAAATCCGGGTCCTCAGCGGCTTGGCGCCCTTCCTTTGAGTTAAAGCGGAATAAAAAAAAATATTACGAAAGACGGACTGAGTTTGTACTTCACTAACTAATAATTAATCTGACCCGACAAAAGCATCAGACTCGCTCGCCCTGTGAACTTCTTAACCGCCAACCTCCAGCCCGCTGCAGACCAGATCGCATCTTCTACACCCTTAATAGCACCGTCACCGTCGATATACACCCTCACCAGCCATCACCATGTCTGCCGATAAGGAATTCACCCTCAAGGAGGTCGCTGCCCACAGCACCAAGAAGGATCTCTACGTTGTGATCCATGAGAAGGTCTACGATTGCTCCTCTTTCGTCGACGAGCACCCGTACGTCTGTCCTGATGCCTGCCCATGCCTCTCCCCTTCGTGTCACGGATCATTGAGGTCCTTGTGTCGATATACTACTGCATCCGGCGTGTTTGTTCTATGCTTGAAACACGCGGCTAACTTGCTTATCTGTTCAATTCAGCGGTGGTGAGGAGGTCCTGCTCGATGTTGCCGGTCAAGACTCCACAGAAGCCTTCGAGGACGTCGGACACAGTGACGAGGCTCGCGAGATCCTCGAGGGTATCAAAGTCGGCACCCTCAAGCGCCTGGTATGCTCCTTTTCTTCCCTGTTCCGTCTACAGGCTGTCCATGTTGATGCTGACTCCTCCTCTCGCAGCCTGGCGACCCTGCCCCAGCCGCCGCTCCTACTACCACCGCCGCATCCACTGGCTCGAGCGACTCTACTGGCCTCGGAGTCGGCCTCTACGCCGTCGTCCTGGTCGGTGCTGCCCTCGCCTATGGTGTCTACCAGTACATGGCCACCCAGCAAGCACAACAGGCATAGACGAGTTATAACTCCAGCCGTGGCTCTTGCTTAAGAAACAATAAACGACATGATCCATTTATTATAAAGACCGCTTATGATTAACTACCTTGCCGGATCTATGACCCCCCTTTTTCTTCTCTCTTGGCCTTAATCACTTCAACACGCTCTCCTTTGAGACCTGAATCACACTTCTCAAGAGCTCACTTTTAGAATTCGTTTAGTTTATGGGATTGCGTTCTTCTACCTTCTTCTCCCGTTATATCTTTGTTCACTGTGATTTTTGCTCTTCTTTATTCGCTTCTATTTACATGTTTTTGCAAGGAACTCTCCGACTCGGAGTGATGGGCTCAGTGCTCGATTAGAGGGCTCTCTTGTCCCATACAAAAGACAGGCCAGAGGAGTGTAGGTATATATTTTTACCAGGTTTCTTGAGTTACATCTTCTCTTCCATATGTCACTTCAAGTGGTAGTGACTTTTCTTTCATCGCTTTGTCCGTCCTCGTTAATTACCGAGTACAGAGTACAAAGGGGATACAAGACATGAACTAGACCAGAGTACTGAATGACCACGGGGATTTCTCCCTATCTCATTCTCCGAGGCTGAAGGACGGGTAGTGTATGTCTCCAGCTCTGTATCCTCGTAGATATCATCTCGTCATCCTCCGATATATCGCCTGTTGTGCCTGGACGGACTTTGTATCTCTTGTAGTCTCTATGTAACCATCTGCCTGGGTGCCTAGGCTAGCTAGCTAACCAACCCCACGAATGACACCAACGGTTGCCTTTTGGACCCCGCCAAACTCAGCGTCTACCAAATACGAAGAAGTAACAAAGTATCAACTTCAGTAGCCACCGTTCATTAGAGATACATAAGCACTATGTCTCGCAATAGAGTGAAGAATATCAGTTACGACGATGACGACCTGGACGATGAACTCGATGGCAACGACGATGAGCTTTCGCCCGAAGACCGCGAGCAGATGCGACTCGCAACCATAGAGGTGCAGCAGCTTCTGCGCTCCCAGATACCGGCCATAGAGGCCACGGAAGACGATATATGGGAGACTCTATGGCATTATTACTATGACGTGGATAAGTCCGTCGACTACCTGACCAGTATGGCTCGTGTTCTCGTTACTCCGGCTAGTCATAGCTATGGTAGACGCTGATATTAGCCCCATATAGAAAAGTATAGACCGAAGGAAAAGAAGGACACGAAAGCAAAAGCGCCCACTGCTGCAGCAAAGAAGAAGAACACAGCTGGTGAGTTTGTTGTCTTTCTTTCTTCTTCCCTCACTTGAAACCCTTTTCTGGACGCTGGGAGGTCCCCTCGGATATACTTTATGCGCATATCCTACTCTACGGTGCGTCACCATTTCAATTACGCTCGTCCCGGTGCGGTTTCAAATACCTATACGGGGATGTTACTCATATCAGTAAATCAACGAAGTTGTTGCTAATCTGTTTACTTTTCATCGTTTAGATATAGAATCACCAATGTCAACATTCCCAGTACCTTGCTCAAGTCACTTCTCTGCGCGCGACTTCTTCAAAGACTCTCCTTGGTTAAATATCCCGCCACACCGGAAGGCAGATATCTTGATCGAACCGCTCTATCCTAGACTCGGACTATTAGGAGGCTCTTCCTCCGAGAAACCAGGGAAGATGTCAAAGTTGGCTGCTCTGGCTGCAGCGCGCAAGAAAAAGGAGGCCGAGAAACAGCAGGCTCAGCAACAGGGAGAGGTAGGGGGACCAGCAGAGGAAGCGAATAAACCTCTCTCATTGCGAGATAGGCTAGCTGGTGGTGGGAAAAGCAGGACCCCTACGCCTCCTAGCTCTAGATCGTTGAGCGCATTGAGGGGTTTGAGCCGGACTCCAAAGAACGAACAGCCACAGGCGGTCGAACCTGTAGAGGGCGCAGGCATCAGTCAACAGACGGTGCCAAAGGAGACCCAGCAAGAACAAGCTCAAAAGGAAGCCAATGCACCAGAACCCGTGGAAAAGCTTGCGGCCGGCCCGTCTGACTTTGCAGCAATAATAATCGGTGGAAAAGACAAACCAGGGGAACCTACATCCAGCGTCTCGCCTCGTGCATATAATCTGTTTAATTTTGTGGTACATGATCTCACTGAAGTTTACAATTTTGCAGAACCGAGCCCGGATGATATTGTGATCAATGCTCAGAATGCTGCTAAAGGTATGTTACATTCATTCCACCCAGATAAAATATTCAGCATGATTCAACTGACATCTTACAGAGAAAAAAGCAAAACGAAATGCCAACCAGCAGGCAACAGGAAAAGCCCAAACGGACCTGGCCGGTGGTGTGCAGCAGCTCTCAGTTGAACCTGTAAAGGTGAAGAGCAAGAATTTAGATGTATTAGAAGAACATCGAAAAGCAAAGAGGAAGAAAGCTGCGAATTTTGTTGTTATTGGTTTGTTGCCTAGGTCGGCTATCAAATTTGAGTGTTGGGCTAGTTTAGCTAACATGTATTACAGGCCATGTTGATGCTGGGAAAAGTACACTTATGGGAAGATTGCTATATGACCTTAAAGCAATTGACCAGCGAACGGTAGATAAATACCAACGAGAAGCTGATAAGATCGGGAAAGGCTCGTTTGCATTTGCATGGGTTCTTGATCAGGGCGCAGAAGAGCGCGCTAGAGGCGTAACAATCGACATCGCCTCGAATAATTTTGAAACAAAAGATACCAAGTTTACTATATTAGATGCGCCGGGCCATCGAGACTTTGTGCCAAATATGATTGCTGGCGCGAGCCAGGCTGACTTCGCCGTTTTGGTTGTCGATGCCAGCACCGGCAAGTTTGAATCTGGGCTGAAGGGACAAACGAAAGAGCACGCTTTACTAGTCCGCAGCATGGGAGTGCAGAAGATGGTTATTGCCGTTAACAAGATGGATCTCGTGGAGTGGAACAAGGATAGGTTTGATGAGATTGAGCAGCAAATATCCGCGTTCCTGGTAACAGCTGGCTTCCAGGCGAAGAATATCTCATTTGTTCCTTGCTCTGGTCTTCAGGGAGAGAATATAGCGCGGAGATGCGAGGATAAGAAAGCTGGCTGGTACACCGGCAAGACACTGATCGAAGAACTGGAGACTTCAGAACCATTCTCATATGCTCTTGACAAACCTCTACGGATGACGATTGGAGATATATTCCGGGGAGGTATTCAGAACCCCCTCTCGATATCAGGGCGGCTTGATGCCGGCCATCTGCAGATGGGTGATCAAGTACTGGTCATGCCCAGCGGTGAGAAGACGGTCATCAAGAGCCTGGAAGTCGACCATGAGCCAGTAGACTGGGCCGTGGCAGGCCAAAATGTGGTCCTCCATCTAGCTGATATTGACGCCAAACACCTCCGAATTGGTGACATTGTCTGCAGTGCTGCGTCTCCGGCTCAGAACATCACCAGCTTCACCGCTAAAGTGCTTGCCTTTAACCACCTGACACCAATGCACATAGACGTGCACCGCGGCCGGCTACATGTTCCTGGCCGGATCACGCAGCTGGTAGCTACCTTGGACAAAGGGTCGGGCAAGCCAACGAAGCGGAAACCAAAGATTGTGGCCCCGGGCAATGTGGCCAGGGTGGTGGTAGAGCTGGAACAGTCAATCCCGCTGGAAGCTCCCGCACGGATAGTCCTGCGGTCTTCAGGGGAGACTGTTGCCGCGGGGCTGCTAGAATAGGACCCTTACTCCATAGATAAAGGACACGTTTACTGCATAGTACTATTACTCCGTCACTCATCATCACTATCAGCATTCATCGCCGTCGCCGTCGCCGGCTTTTCGGTTATCCCTGATATCGAACTCCCAGCCAATCAGAAGCCGTCAAGTCGTCTCAGTGGCCATTTGCTGAGTCACGATACTTACTAAGCATGATCGACCAATCACCACACGCAGAGTAGTCATCGGTGTCGGTGAACGGGCGCACTAGGCCCAGAGAAGCCTAGCGCGGCGTGAGGGTGAAGAGGCCAACTTGTTCCTTTTGCGTCTCGCGCTTCTCTTCATAAAGCGACATCCACGGCTCCAACTTCGACCGCAACTTCATCTTCCTCTTCTTCTTCTCCTTCTCCGTCCACCCTCACCAGGAGAGCCTCTTCTGCTGATTATTCTTGTTTCTTCTCCTTCTTTTATACCCAGCTGTTGGAAGCTCGTCGGCTCAGGGAGTTGATTAGGGCTTCTGCGGGCGAACTAGAAGCACGCCAGCCCTCCTTCCAGCCAATTTGCCCCCCATCACCATTCGTTCAGCTTCAATTACATCCAGGATGTCCAGACAATCAAGGCGGGGAGCGTCCTCGCCCTTTGCGTGGACTACCATCCTCTACCTCCTCCTCGTTCTAGTCGCTCCGTTTGCGCTTCTGGGAACCGCACACGCCGGGGACGACCAGGCGCCGCTCGAGAGCGATCTTAAGAATGGTATGTCTTTGCGGTCGAATTATATCGGGAACTGCAGACACTAATTGGTATATAGTCATTGGTATCGATTTGGGAACTACATACTCGTAGGCCTCTCCCCGATCTGTCCCTCGCTTAATAGCTGTGTGGGTAGGAATAAATTGCTGATTGCCACTTTCAATAGCTGTGTTGGTGTTATGAGAAATGGAAAGGTCGAGATTCTCGTCAACGACCAAGGAAACCGAATCACCCCTTCATATGTCGCCTTCACGGACGAGGAACGATTGGTCGGAGATGCTGCTAAGAACCAGTACTCCGCTAACCCTCAACGCACCATCTTCGATGTCAAGTAAGTGGGATGCATGGTGTGTGGCGGCTGTATAGTTGAATAGGATTACTGACAACGGTTTAGGCGTCTCATTGGCCGCAAGTTCTCTGACAAGGACATCCAGAAGGATATCAAGCACTTCCCCTTCAAGGTTACCGATGTCGGTGGAAAGCCATCGGTGAATGTTGAAGTCAACGGAAAGGCCCGCAACTTCACCCCTGAGGAAGTCTCTGCCATGGTTTTGGGTAAAATGAAGGACATCGCCGAGAAGTATCTCGGAGAGACCGTCAGCCATGCTGTCGTCACTGTCCCTGCCTACTTCAACGACAACCAGAGACAGGCCACCAAGGACGCTGGTACCATTGCCGGCCTTAACGTCATCCGTGTTGTTAACGAGCCAACTGCCGCAGCTATTGCCTACGGTCTTGACATGACTGGTGACGAGCGCCAGATCATTGTCTACGATCTCGGTGGTGGTACTTTCGATGTCTCTCTCCTCTCCATTGACAAGGGCGCCTTCGAGGTCTTGGCTACTGCTGGTGACACTCACTTGGGTGGTGAAGATTTCGACCAGCGTGTCATCAACCACTTCGTCAAGCTCTACAACAAGAAGAACGATGTCGACATCACCAAGAACCTCAAGACCATGGGTAAACTAAAGCGTGAGGTTGAGAAGGCCAAGCGTACCCTTTCTTCCCAGAAGTCTACCCGCATTGAAATCGAATCTTTCCACGATGGCAAGGACTTCTCTGAGACCCTTACCCGTGCCAAGTTCGAGGAATTGAACATGGACCTCTTCAAGAAGACCCTCAAGCCAGTTGAACAGGTTCTTAAGGACGCTAAGGTTAAGAAGTCGGAGATTGATGACATCGTCCTTGTCGGTGGTTCTACCCGTATCCCCAAGGTCCAGGAGCTCCTCGAGGAGTACTTCGGTGGAAAGAAGGCCAGCAAGCAGATCAACCCCGATGAGGCTGTTGCCTTTGGTGCCGCCGTTCAGGCCGGTGTCCTTTCCGGACAGAAGGGTACTGAGGACGTTGTTCTCATGGATGTCAACCCATTGACCCTTGGTATCGAGACCACCGGTGGTGTCATGACCAAGCTCATTCCTCGCAACACTGTCATCCCAACCCGCAAGTCCCAGATCTTCTCCACCGCCGCTGATAACCAGCCCGTTGTCCTCATCCAAGTTTGTAAGTTACCCCATTGAGACGGACCGTTTATCAACCATTACTAACGTCCTACTAGATGAGGGAGAGCGATCCATGACCAAGGACAACAACTTGTTGGGTAAATTCGAGTTGACTGGCATTCCACCAGCTCCTCGTGGTGTCCCTCAAATTGAAGTCTCCTTCGAGCTTGACCCCAACGGTATCCTCAAGGTTACCGCTGGAGACAAGGGAACTGGCAAGGCTGAATCCATCACCATCACCAACGACAAGGGCCGTCTCTCTCAGGAGGAGATCGACCGCATGGTTGCTGAGGCAGCTGAGTTCGCTGAAGAAGACAAGGCCATGAAGGGCAAGATTGAGGCCCGCAACGCTCTCGAGAACTACGCTTTCTCCCTCAAGAACCAGGTCAGCGACAGCGAAGGCCTCGGTGGCAAGATCGATGAGGATGACAAGGAAACTGTAAGCTCCCTAACCCCTACATTGCTTCACCCATTACCAACCATATACTAACATATTTCTCAACAGCTTTTGGAGGCCGTCAAGGAAGCCACTGAGTGGCTCGAGGAGAACGCCGCCACTGCTACCGCCGAAGACTTTGAAGAGCAGAAAGAGAAGCTCTCCAGCGTTGCCTACCCAATCACCAGCAAATTGTACGGTGATGCCGGTGAGGCCCCAGCAGCTGATGACGATGATGACACCCCATCTCATGAGGAACTTTAAACGAACACCTTGAAATACCCAAATAAACAAAACAAAAAAAAAAAGAAAGAAGAAAATTATAAAGACATTTGAGGGTGTAGCATAGCCGGATGCTATGCTACTAATAAACGCTGCTTGGTGCATCGCTTACTACCGCTTAACTGAATTCCTGTTTAGCCCCGGCCATTCAGCAATGCTTTGAACCACTCATACACATAGAGTCATACATACCTTGACGTGAAAGCAATGGAAACCCCAGCCGACTTCGTCTACTTTGCTGTTTGTTTCGTTTCTTCTTTTTCTTTTGCCTTTCATGCTTACAACCATGTATTATCAAGATGAGTTGAAGGAAAAACGGAAGTCAAGGTAGTTAATATACAGGAGTTCTTTATTTTTTTCATCTTAAGTCTTTTTCCTTATGGGTAGACCGACCTAAAGACCGGGATATGGTTACATAGTTCATTCAACTCATCATTTGGGGGTATATAACGAGGCAAACCCTTTCGTTCTAGCTGGAAACACCATGCCCAAGCACCCCTTGTATCCAAGCTATGCACTGAAAAGCTCGCCTGTGAAACAGGATTTTCTATAACGTACCCGACCATCCGATCGCTCAAGTAGGGTAGCCGGGTAGGTAAGTATCTCATGCCATTCAATGCAATATAGAAAGATAAGATATAAGAAAATCAAGTAACGAAAGACAAAAAATGCAGCAGAAAAAAAAATGAAAATGAAAAATACACCAAGTGAAGGCACCCAGTAAGTATCATCAGTTAGCTGGGGCCCGTTCGTAAAAAACTAGGTATGCCTGCTCGTTTTGCAAATTATCAGGTGAAGACCGGGAAGAACTTGGTTGGAAATCCGTTACTCGTTGATCATCAAATTTCCGCCAACACTTGCGCTGTTCGTCTCTAACCAAGGAGATATAATGGCCTTCATTCATCGTTGAGCCTAAGTGCCGGACGACGGCATAGGCATTATAAATATATGGAGTGGACGTAGCAAGGTCATGACTCGCTAGCACCGACTGGGATTTTGAGGAGGGGTGTGAGTTTGATTTCGAATCAAGGGTATCGCCATTGCTATTTGGTAGAGGAGAGACAGGGCGAGAAGATTGGGTATGCTGAGGGTGTTGAATCATAAAGGGGGTCATGTCAAGGCCGCTAAGGGGGAAAGAAACTGGCGTATGGATTTTACGCGCTTGTTGTCGTCTGGAGGCGGAAAACCTTTTGAAATGAAAGACTAGGAATCGAGGAGCGCGAGTGAGGATAATCTGTTTCGCTGCTTCTCGCTCTCGTTTGCAGTATGGGCATTTCCATACTTCGTCGCCGCTGAGTACTTCCTCTTGACAGTAGCTCTTGAGGCACTGGTAGATATCTCCGGTTCCTGTGACCGGGATTTCGACGCTAATGCTATAGAATGCTTCATATGTCGTGGAAGTTTTTCGGCATGTGGTGCAGCGAAGCCGACTGGCATGCTGTCCTGCAAAAAGGGACGATACGTATGATAGTTCACGGTGTGAGTATCGGGCCCATTCGATATCTGATACTTTGTGAATTGGCATTTGTTCTCGGCGCATCTCCTCCGCAAATGTTAGTGGACGTAAAGGCGTGCGTTGCCAATGTAGATTGAGGTCCTCGTGCAAACAATCGACTAATACGTCAAAGAACTCCTTTGCGTCTTGTTGCTGGCTTCCTGCCCACTCTGTGTTCAATCGGCCAACGAATTTCCGGAATGATGTGGGCCGGATTACCTCGACATCATTCTTCCATAAAGACCGTATTAAATTCGCAAACAAGCCTGGCAAGACTCCTTGAGATCCTTTCCAGTTCTTTTGAACTTGTGTATGGAAGCGATTATCCACAAAGAACTTGGTAAGCAAGATGGTGGCGCTGAGACTCTGTATTATCGAATTCATGTAGCAGGTTGAGCCTAAATTGATAAGCCCAGTTCGTGGGAGCCTCAGTCGGTCGATTGGGGAAGAGTATAATGCCTGTTTATGGGCAGACGATTGCCGAGCGAGCGGTGGCTGTGTCTGGCCACGGTCCGCAACACCACTATAGCTTGGTCGAGGGATGGCAGGGGGTGGCCTTGACGGGGTTGGTACAGCTGCGGCATCGTACAATGGGAATTGTACTGCATTCCCTGAATGCACCATAGACTCTCGGATATCGTTTGGTTCAGGGAACCTTCTGAGGAAGTCTTCATACGTATGTACGAACGAGGCCGTCTGTTGTAGAGCAGATCCGTCAATATCTTCCGGTTCTTCAGTTATATCCCCTTCTTCGGCAACGTAGTTGGTGTCTATTTCTTCGTTCCTCGCCTTTTCAAGCCACGCCCGTTCCTCTTCAGGATTAAGAGGTTTATAGTCACGTAGCCGCCTCTTTCTCACCTCCCAACTTGAATTTGCGCTTGCAGTAGGGTTCCTCCGCAAAGGCTGGTCAGAGTTGGGCGCTTGCCTTCTAGCGCGGACAGAGCTTAATATAGCACTGGTTTGAGAGGTGGCTAGTGACTGTGGCCCAACCAAATCAACCCACGCATCCAAACCACCGACAAGAAGAGCTGGAGGTCGGCCATCCTTTAACGGCTTGTAAAAGTTGAACTCATATAAGGTATCATAAAGAGCGCGCAGGTGTGGGACTGCATTGCCAGCAGGGGACCCTATCAAATATGTTGGCTCAACGGTACTTTGATCATAGTAGACGACGAGGTCAAACTCGTTTCGCCTGGAAAATAACGATTGCTCTGTGTCGGGTGAGATAATCAGGCGATCTTCAAGCTCTTCTGCCGATATGTTCTCCTTCAACGCTACAGGCTCGATGCATAAGATGGACTTGGCATATATGTGACCTGCATCGTATTGATCTCGTGATCGAACGTCAATAAGTAGGACGTCATACTTTCGAATATATTCTACCAGCTTGGCAGCACTGATCGTGGGACCAACATAGATGTCCGGGCTTCTGTTTCCGGACTCAGCCTCAGGCCGGAACCCGTTAGGTGTCTGCGAGCGGTACGGGTTATCTGCGCTGGTGTTAAGGCTGCTGTTGGAATTGGTGGCTCCAGTGTTTGTTTGTTTGTAGATGGTATTGCGTATACTTTCTACAGATGTCCTTGGAGGGTTGGGAGTTGGCGTTGAGGGCACTGTCCATATAGGATTATAAGCAGGGCTTGGGTATCTAGGGAGTTGCGGGTCTACTGTAGAGATGGGGACCTTTGGGGGGACAGTCGGGGCAGACAGCTGCATCTCTCTGGGGCCCAGTGGCTTCAAAGGCGTATGGCTGAGCTGGCTTGAATGAGTCTGTGACTGTGGGTGTGGTCGATACGCAGCGTAGTTCCCATCGATGCCGGTATTAGTATACAAAGAGCCATTTGCTCTGTCGCTCGATGAATTACTGGGTGGAACAGCATTATATCGTTGGTTTCTCAATCCGGCGAGTCTCTGTGCAAGGGGATCCTGCGCTGGTATCAATTCACTGGCAGGCCTGCTGCCTCCTGAGCTATGTGGAGTGGTGTTTAAAGATTGTCTGTGAAAGCTGGAGGGGCTCGGCATGCGTAATGGCGCAGAACCTGGGGTTGACGTCGAGCGAGAGTGCCCTGCGGCGTTGTTGCTGGCTGTAATTTTCCGCTTGATCTCCTCCATTGTCTTGTGCTGTGAATCAACCAGCTATTGCATCGTTAGCTACCCTATCTCTCACGGTGGTCGGAGTGTACCCACCATCATTAGCCTGGCAAACTGGTCTGCCCATCTTGGGTGGTTCTGCTTCATATACGTAAAATCTGGGTGGCGGGGAATCATGTTGACAGTAATATCAGAGGCACGGAGGTAGTAGACAAGAGCAGAATCGGGTTTACCTCGCTGGACGAGGGTTTTGGACTTGCTGATGGCATCTTCGGAGATATGTAACAGCTCATTTAACTATACCGACTCAACTGTTAGCACTCTCTGGAAGTTCCCAAATGGTAAATCAAGGCATCAAATAAGCGCCATACCGACGGGTCATCACCCAAGTTCAAGCAAGCTGCCATGTTCTGCAATTCTTTCATCGAGGGATAGGGAGGCCTGCCCGCACCCGGGATGGGAGCTCCATCTCCACGGCCCCAAGGCGGCTCCGCTGGTTCAACCATCTGGTATTTCGTCGGCAGCGCGATGCCTCACACAGACCCGGGTTATCTCATATGTTCCAACACCTTTCAGGCTCCCGTATTCTCGCTGCTGGAAATGTTGCTGGCTAACTGTATCCTAGAATGAGCGTCATAGGCCCCTCTCTGTGCCGCGTAACAAACGCCGAGCCGGGCTTAAAATAGCTAGGGGCAGTGACGTATCTCCCTCTTAGGCTCGCGGCAAGTCTCTATCGTATCCCATCCGCGTCTCTGACCGCACCATCGAGGCGTCCGTGTCGTGTGTCGTCTTTGTTCAACTTGCACAATACAATCAACGTATATCGCTGAGCGCAACGTTTTGGATAAGCTCGTCACGTGACTTAAGTTGCCTTCTATCACATGACGTCGACTGGGATCAGGCACTCAACATTCAAGAACAAGCAAAGCAAAGAAGCAGCAGAGAAGCAGAGAAGCGGAAGACGAAGAGGAGCAACCGAAGCCGAAGATAGATGCGCACCCAGGAGTCTGCCGTTTAGCCCTGGTTCTTTTGCTGACCAGCCTGGAGCGTTGATGCGTTGACAGCAACAGCCACATCTGCAGCTACAGACATCCCAAGCTTCTCCCTCAGTGTCGTCATCATGACAAGCTGGTTTACATCGTCGTCCCCGCTGGACGACCAGGTCGAGAAGGCTACCTCGTCTAGCTTGTAAGTGATACGCTTAGATATGGATGACGGCCGCTAACAGTTTGCAGGGAGGATATCGCTTTGAACCTGGAGATTTCAGATCTGATTCGGTCCAAGACGGTGCAGCCTAAGGAGGCTATGAAGGTGCTGAAGCGCAGGCTGGAGACGAAGAACCCTAACGTTCAGCTTGCCACGCTTAAGGTCTGTTTGTTGATATGATACGCGTTGTTGGAGCTTGATCCCTAACCTGAACCGTCTACATAGTTGACCGATACCTGTGTGAAGAATGGCGGTCGGCATTTTCTCGTCGAGATCGCATCCCGGGAATTCATGGATAACCTCGTATCTTTACTCAAAACCGAGGGCCCAAATGCGCTGAATTACGATGTCAAGGCCAAGATGCTAGAGCTCATACAGAACTGGGCCATGGCCGCTCAGCCCAGGAACGACCTATCCTATATTGCCGAAACCTACCGCAAACTACAGAACGACGGATATAACTTCCCACCAAAGACCGAGATAGCAAGCACAATGCTGGATAGTGATGCTGTAAGTAGGCAGCGCTGTTTTTTTACTCTCATCTTTTATTTTGGCGGATAGAGAGCTGATTGTATTTGGTAGCCCCCTGAGTGGATAGATTCTGATGTCTGCATGCGGTGTCGCACTGCATTTACATTTACAAATCGCAAACACCACTGTCGCAACTGCGGGAATGTGTTCGATGCTCAATGTTCAAGCAAGACCCTGCCACTACCGCATCTCGGGATAATTCAACCCGTCCGGGTGGATGATGGCTGTTATGCTAAACTTACATCAAAATCCACCACCGCAGCCGTACGCTCGTTCAGTAACTCGTCAAGCTCGCCAGCGGTCCCTGCGAATAAGCCCCGTATGGAACCTCGGAGTGCATATGCTGATAACGATTTTGACGAGGATTTGAAACGGGCACTACAGATGAGTCTCGAGGACTCAAAGGGCCGGCAGTCCTCTGGTTATGTTCCACAACCTAAATCAACATACGCTCCTCCCAAGGTGCAAGTTAGCGCCCCGAAACATGATGACGAAGAAGATGCAGACCTCAAGGCTGCTATTGAAGCGTCGTTAAAGGATGTGGAGGAGCAGAAGCGGAAACACACTGCTGCCCTGAAGAGCTCTGCTTTCAGCGACAAACCAGCAGCCACTCAACCTTCTGCGGTATTACCGAAAAAGGATTATGAGCTGACTCCTGTTGAAGCTGAAAATATAAACTTGTTGGCCACGCTTGTAGACCGACTGCAACACCAACCTCCAGGGACTATTCTCCGAGAACCCCAAATTCAGGAATTATACGAAAGTATTGGTGCTCTACGGCCTAAGCTCGCTCGAACATATGGTGAAACGGTCAGCAAATATGGTAAGATTCTAGCGTGTGGTGATGACGTCTTCAAACTGGCTAGGTACTAACTGTAGTAGATACACTTCTTGATCTCCATGCTAAGCTGTCAACGGTCGTACGATATTACGACCGCATGTTGGAAGAACGACTCTCAAATACCTACTCTCGCCAGACTTTGAATGCATATGATAATGTTCGCCCCCAGTCGGGTTCCAACTTCTACCCATCTATGGCACAACATAACACTGGCGGCCACGAAGGCGCCGAAAACTTTTACCTTGGAACCGGAGCACCTCCTGAACCTCATCAGTCGGCATATCCCCAGTACCCAAATAACTACTCACAACCGCCGCCACAACAAGCACACGAATACCAAGGACAGGCACCTTCGTCCATTTCCTCTTTTGACCGGAGGGCGTCCACCCACGGTAGCCTGCACTCTCAGCCCAGAAATTCTGAACAATTCCCCCGACCGCCTCAACAGCCCTCTTATCCATACGCCCCTCAAGATCTTCCACAATCTTCACCACACGGAACAGAGTCCGTCTCCCCGCCACAGCACATAACGCAGCAGTATCCCCCTACCCAGTACCCACCACCATCCGCAACCCCTCACCAAACTGTTTACACCCCTCCTGTCCCGACGAGTGGACAACATCCCAATTATAACTACATGTCACCCGCCCTACAACCTCCACTACAACAGCAGCAGCAACAGCAGCCGCAGCCACACATGCAACCGCAACCGCAACCGCAACAACAGGCGCCTCCAAAACCACTTGTTGAGGAAAGCCTAATCGAACTTTAATCTAGGGAGATAGGCTACTAAATAACTACCTCATGAATTTTTATGATATTCTACCTGTTTTACTAAAGAATAGTTTACTGTTAATCACCAGGAAGATTGCAAGATGTAACCCTTTTAGTCATTGGGCTAAATTTTTATTTACTCCGGTATTGAATAGAGGCTGGGCATTAGCATCGTCATCACCTTCAAGTCTTGACTTATTTTCTATGTTACAATCGATTGGGAGAAGCTTCTTTGCCCTTAATAGGCTAACGAAATATTTTATGATAGTTGTCAGTGTTGAATATCAGAGAACGATGCAAGAAACTCGACGAAATTCATACTTTTGATAACTCCGTGCTGATAGACGCCGTAAACGCTAGCCAAGATTTTAACCGCCTACCTGAGCAGCCTGGATCACGTGCTGGTAACCTCGCTCAACTTTCTGCCTCCTTGATGATATCAAGATAATAATTGAAACATCCAAGTTAACGGCTCGAGGGAGAACGATTGATACGGCCACCCGCCTGTGTTCCCTAGCGAGCGCATTATGTCGACACCTCCCAATACGCATGCCCCGCCGCACAAGCCGGCTGGGCATAAGCCTCACCGTCCGCATGTGGTTGGAGGACAGCGCGCGCATGGCCGTAACACGTCACAGATGAATCTGAATAAACTGCAGCGGTTGGCTATGGCGCACAACGCAACCAGTGATCTCCACGGAGGACAAGAAGCGCCCGTGACCAGCCGACGGCATCATGCAAGGAAGAAATCAGCCCCTTCATCGCCTGCCACTAGTCCAAAGACAGGGCATCATGTCCGATGGAACGGCTCTGCGGTAGCCTTGGGCGGCGTATCATCAAACAATCCAACTATGAGGAAGAACCTTTCGACTCCCATTTTGAAACGAGAGGGTTCAAGCGGCAATATCATTAAGAAGGGCCACCTACTAGGTGAACTGAGCAGGATCGAGAAACCAGAAGAAAAGAAGTCAGTGGGCTTTGAGCTTGCGGGCTCCGATGACGACGACGACGACGACGACGAATGGGAGGACCATAGTTCACCTTCAGGAGCGAGTACAAGGCGGAATTCACTTGTTGTGGGCAAGGCTGGCAATACTGACGGAAATCCCCAGAGTACCACTTTGACATTTACCAAGTCGCCTTTGGTCCAACAGAATAACGCAGCGGATATGAAACCTGAACCGAGCGAGGGAACAGCAGCTGGCGAAACACAACCAGAATCTACAATGTCGGCCGGAGACATAGCCCAACCAACAGAACAAGGTCAAAACGACGTACCCCAACGACTCCTTAGTCGCCAGCACTCGGGCATGGTACCTCCAGCAGTCTCATCTGTCTCTGCTACAGCTACTCAGGCACCGCCGGAACGAAGCTCTCGTGTATCGTCGTTTGCCAATCTATCGAGCCTCGGTGGAATAAACCAGCCTGACTCACGCCACAGTAATGAAAGGGAAGACACCCAGCGATTCAGCCCTAATGCTACACCTTCATCTACTGATGTAGGGGTATCTCGATTTTTAATAACTCATCCAAACGGGGGGAGCCACCCCGGCGGCCGCTCTGAGTCCGACTTCTCTACCCCTTCCTCATTTCTTCCTAACTATCAACCCCGCACACCACCTTCTCCCGAGGCAGCTATAACGAAAGCGCTTAAATCACCTTCTAGACGTCGACCCGCCGAACCACATTCCCGAACACAGCAAAAGCTTTGGCTTCAGCGAACTGCAACTCTCTCAACCTCCCCATCAGAGACCTCAATGGGGCCCATGGCACCAGTTGTAGCGCCTCAGATAATCGATTCAAACGCTGCCCATGCTCGATCAGCGCTCGATCCCCATCGTGCCTCTACCGCTGCCAGTGGATTTGCTGGCGGCCCATCAACTGAAGGAGAGTCCAAAAGGATAAAGAAGGTGTACGAACGACTCGCTAGTGAGTTTTCAGTCATGCATCGTTTCCGAAATCCAGTCGTAGACAGCCTAAATCGAATGTACGACATGACCAAGCCTCCTACCGGACAGGACGGGACATCTCAACCCGGCGCTTCTTCTAACCCTGCACATTTGAACTCAAATGATATCAACCACGAAACTTCTTTACATACACGCAATGGTAGCCATTCATCAAACCCTTCGAAACCGGGGAGACAAGGCTCGGTACGGTTTAAGGACCATGAAGAAGCCTATAATGACGATTCAGATGACCTTAATGATCAAAACAATGATATCTCATCTCGTGCTGGCTACCAACTCACGGAAGAGGAGCTTTTGGTGCGCCGTATGTGGAATAGTCTTGAAGTTGCTGCTCCAGGTGATTGAATGCCTCTGTTCAAGGGGGGTTATTTCATTCATTCTATTCTGTTTGTGTACCATTATCTTCAAACCGTATATTGGCTGCATTTATCAACATTTATAGGTTGGTCAGCTTTAGCCATTAATGATAAAATTCTAAGTGCTCTATATCTAGCAATGTCCGCAACATCGTAAATGTTTAATTCGAACCAGTCAAATTCATGGACAATCAAATGATTTTCTCTATAAAACATACGAGTTAAACTGTAACTCGACAATATCATGTGCGTCTATCAAATCAATCGACAAGAAGTGGAAAGGACATGTTAAAATCCAAATATCCGAACATAATCGGAAAAGACGATTAAACGATATAAACGAAGAGTAATATTAGGCAGAGAATATCAGGCAGAGAATATCAGGCAGAGAATATCATGTGGATAATCATCTAGCCCAAAACCGAGATTAACTCGATGCCATGCAAGGAATAGAATCAACTTAGGCAACTGAAGAAGATATTAAACGTTTTGGGCACGAACTGTTCCACCGCCTCGTGCGGGGTGTACCTCTATGCCGACCTCTGCCACGATCCCGGTCTGAGTGCCGTTTCTTATCCTTATCATCTGTATGAACGGATGTTCGACTCTGGGAATGTGGGTGTCCTGCTTGGTTATTTGCCACTGGTCTCGCTGTCGAAGTTGCCTCTGCGCCAGCAGGTCTAGAAGTAGAACCTTCAACGGCCCTGGTAGTGTTTGGGCGTGATTGTCCTCCTCCTTTCCTCGTCCCCTCCCACCACCTCTGCTGGGAGCTCCCCCTTTTACTTCTTGCCTTTTCGCTTTCCAATTTAGCCTTGGTTTCCGCGGCTTGCTCCTCTTGCATTACACGCTTGCTTTCTTGGTCCCACCACTCTTGGAACTCTTGCTCGATCTGGATATCATGCAGGTTATGTTTTGCTGTTGCTGCTTCGTGAATTTCATCTTTTTCAGTTTGTTGCTGAAGAAGAATTGTTGCAAGGGATATTTGGGACGTTCCTGGGCCAGCGGAGACAGAGGGGGATGCGGAGGATTTTGTCTGGGACGCATTGATGACCATCGATTTAGAGACTTGTGTGCGGGGAGGCGTCTGTGGGTATGTTGGTTTTATATGTGGGGATACTGAAGAACCAGGAGTTGCGTTTGAACCTGCTACTGTCTGGCGGAGAGTAAGTGGTGCTTTTGGTGTAGCGGCACGTGCTGGTACTGATGTTGCATCAACATCAGTATCGGCTTTTGTTGGTTTAAGATTAGGCGACTGGGGTATTTGCCAGATGGGGGTATTGCTGATAGCATTGTGTTCCTGTTCAGCGGCCATCTGCTGCTGTTTAAGCTTCTTGCGTTCCTTTTGGGATAGCTTTGGCGAGAAGTTCCGTGTTGCTTCTGCTTCAGGGCGAGAGACTCCTTCAATACGATACGGGGGTGTGCTTAAATTGTTGGTCTCTGCCATTATGTCTCTGAGGCCGGCACGCGTTTTTGTTGGAGTGATAGAGGACCAAGGGGCTTTCGCTGGTGGAGAATTTGGAGTGATGCTATGGTTGATACTACTAGTTGATTGAGCCTGGGGTATATCCTTGACTTTAGACATGGCTCTAGATGGCTGAAGGTTGGTATATGACGGCTTTCCTGAAAGTTGGGGGAAAGTGGCTGGTCCTAGGTCTAGGCCTAGGCTAGGTCCCGAGCCGGGAGTTGAAGGTTGAGGCTGGTTTCGTGGCGAGCCGCGGGAGCTACCTGCCGGTGTTGGCCTCAGACTATCTCCACGTCGACCGTCGGTGTGAAGAGATGGCTCATCATCCATTTGGAATATTAGATCGCCAACTGATCTCTTTGGAACAAGCGTTGGGCTTGCCACAACGGGTGGCTTATCTGACGGTGGTGTAATGATACCGACTTGTTTTCCTTTCCGTGATAGCGGAGACATGGATGTCTTATCTCTTTCCAAGCTCCCAGGTCGAAGCATTGTGTCACGAACTTCATCTTCATGTAAATGAGAGCGAAGCTTCATTGCATCAACACGGCAATTCTTATCCTGCTCAATAAGTGGGACAACTTCTGGATAGCGCTCGGCAAGGAAGGATGCAGGGTTACGGCCGCGTGAGATGGGCTGAGAGGTAAGTTGCTTATCCTGGCACATTTGATCAAGTTCCCAACGCAAGTCCGGATCGAGCTCATCAAGTAATCTGTGTTCAAGCATGATCTCGAGATTAAAACATATGAATTCTAACGCTGCTCGTTTGAATTCCTTCACGGAACACGGCATCACTGCGTTAAGAAGTTGACATACGTTCTGTATGGTAACGAATGTACTTAACCTCCGTTGACATATTTGCGCCAGCCGGTCAATCATCAACTCATTTGCAACGCTTAGCACATCGATGACTATATCCATGAATGCATCGGTGTTGGAAACATTCACGTTGTCGAATAACTCTTCATCGATATCCGAGTATAAATATCGCATAACGAAATCCCATACACTAGGCTCCACATGAGATAAATCAACGTGTATGGGTTCAGGGACTTCCCGTTCCGTACCAGAAACTCTCGCGTGTAGCCAGCGGCCACCTGCTCGGCCTCTGAAGAGGCCGTCAAAGAAAGTGCATCGGCTATATAGGATATGACTGTGTGCCTTGACTTCTTCGTCTCCACTGAGTTCAATTAGTACATCAGCTGTGTCAAAGAAGGACGTGTCTTTGATGGCAGTGGCCATGTCATTAGGCAGACTTGTTGCTGGCTGGGTCATTATTCTTGCTGCACGTTCAAGCCCCGACATATCCAATGCAGCCGCTAGTTTGAGTACCTCAATACGGACCTGGCGGTATAAGGCTGCATTGGCCAGGGTTGCATCTGTCTGCTTCTTATCGTTCCGGTTTCTGAGCCAGACGTCGTACAGCCTATCCGTATATAGGTATACGGCCAAGTTGAAAAGTGCTAGGAAGGAAATATTGGTCAATAAAAGATGCACTTGACCGGCCTTATCATACTCGATAGACATAGCCCCCGGAAGACTGAAGTAGTACTCTTTCCTGAAGGTGGAGAGAGCATTGCGAAGGATAGGGCTGCGAGATGAGAGCATGAACTCATGTACAGGGATGCGAGTGTCACTTAGGGAGGTAGATAGCCAAGCGATAGACGGACTGGAAAGAGATGAAGAAGCTATTTGGGTATCAAGTAAGGAACTCATCTCTTTTTCAACGTCGACATCAGCACCCTCATCTGCGTCTTTGCTCTTGTAGGGAGATATCGGTTTGCGGATGTCAATTCTTCCCTGCCCTTCATTAATAATCTCTATGATTTCTCCAAAGGGTATTAGGGGTCTAATATCAGCCCTTAATCTCGGCTCGTCAACCAAGATATTTCGTCTGGCTACATCGCAGGTACGCTGGATGACGGCATAAGCGCCAAATGCGTTGCTGCGTACCCCGACGGCACGAGATATGTTAGGGACTCGGGCGAATTTATACTCCTTGCCGGCTGCCACAGCTGTAACAGTGGGTTTGATACCCGCTCTTCGTTCTTTCAGCCATGCTGTGCCAGATTTAGTGCAAATGATTATGGAACCATCCTGTCCAACATCAACATCACAAACGGCCATATGGCTCTTCTTAACTGCCCAGGTACGAGTAGGCTGTGGAAGAGAGTTCCGAATCTTTGCGGGGTTTGTGGTTGATGCCGAAGCTGAAGCTGAAGTCGACATTTGCTTGCTACCGTCTCTATCTCTTTCTTCCTCACGCCGCCCGGGAACGGAAACGGTGAAGACTTCACCTCCGTTTGAGAGGGCACAGATGGTGTTTCCACCTGCACGTATCTTAGTCACATAGATCTCTCCGGCACCGTATCGTGTAGCCATAAAGCTGCTACGGATGAAGTTGGATACCGACACGGTTAACGGGAAGATGAGCCTTGAGTAGCCATAATGTGTAAATACCCAGACCTCATGGTTTTCTAGCAAGACGACCGTGGCTCGCTCTATAGCACACACTGAAGAGATAGGCACACTAAACAACGAAGCTCCCACTTTGCGAGGTATGGGCTGTGTGGTGAGAGACCTAGCATCCGCATCCATGAGCCCAAGCTGGCCATCATTGCGGCCAAAAGTATACAGGGCAGATGAAGTGAAGACAGCGGAATGGATAGAAGAGGCAGCTGCACCTAGGATACGGTCTCGCTTGAACGGGTTGAAAATCTGGCGGGGAGACAGTTGAGTGGGAACGTCGTTGGGTGAGCTTGCAGTCGGCTTAGTTTTGGGCAAAGTATAGCCTAGTTGGCCGTGTTTGTTGCTTCCCCAGGAGAAGACCTCGCCCTGGTCTGAGATGGCGATGGTGTGGTCTAGGCCGAGAGCAACGCTAGTGATACGTTTGCCCGCGATAGCACCAGAGTCCACGCACACTGGGCTAAAAGATGTTCCCTCGTGTCCAGTCCCAAGCCTTCCACCAGGGCCAAACCCACACATGTACAAGTTACTGCAGGGGTCTGTGGTGAGGATGGCAGTGTGTAGCTTGGACATGGCCACGTCCTGCACGATGAGGGGCGTAGCCCGGACAAGGAACGGGATCTCCTCTGGTGTTTCAGACTCAGGCGAATCTTCATATTTCTCTTCGTAAAAACGATGTATCAAGGCCTCTGAACGAGGCAAAGTGATGCGTTCAGGGAATTGACGATCATCACTGTCCCCCACGCCCAGCGAGAGGTTCTTGTTGCTTCCAAAAGTGAACAGCTCGTCGCCGTCTAAGCTAACTCGTGGAGCAACGGACTTGACATTACCGTACTGCTCTCCTCCGACTTCATCGTCTGCCTCGACACTCTCTTCATCCTCACTATCGTCTTGTGCCTTTCTTGTGTCCACCGGGGTATCGTATACCACACTAGAATGGAAGACTTCAAAGGGGCTGTTGCCTTCCCTGTCTTTGATCTTGACCAGACCACCACTACCATCTCTATGTAGTATTGCTTGTGCAATAGATATATTTCCAGCATAGAGGGCCCTGTGCAAGCATGTCCACCCACTCTCGGCGTCCTGTATGTATATATCCAAAAAGGGCACTGGAACCGCCAACAAAGCAGATGCAAACCCGTATGCACTCTCCTTATCCGAGGAAGCAATGAGGTGCATCAGAGTCCGGCCATGCTTATCTCTGGCATTGATGTCATTCCGTGTCAGCGTCGTATTGGCCAAGGCCTGCCGGTCTGCCGGAGAGAAGGAAAACGAAATGGACGACTTCCGGCGGTGCTTGGAGAAGGCTGTTGGCGAGCCGTATGAAAGAGACGAGGCGCCTATCACCGCGGAGGAGTTCTTGTATGCATTGTTGGTGTTGCTGCTGCTGGCGTTGGTGCCGGGAGGTGCAGGCGCGGTGGTGAACGTGGCGCCGGCCAGGAGGCGGGAGAAAGCGTCGACATCGTCCCGGAGAAAGAAGTGAAGCAGTTGCCAGCTCATGTGCCGCCGCGAGAGGGCTGCCGTGTGAGCCCTGGCTGGCTTGTCTGCCTGTATATCCCCTCCTCCGCTGCGTGGTCTGTAACTATAGCTTGTTACCCCGGTCGATGATCTTGGTGATGTGGCTCGTTTGGGTGGTCTGGAGCTGCCTGGAGTCTCGGCTCAAGTCACTCTGCGGTCTCTGCGGTCTTGACAGGCTTCCGTGCGTGGTATCAGCGGTGATGCGGATGGCGATAGGGACGAGACGAGACGAGGACGAAGATGGAGATGAAGTCGAGGATGAGGTTGGAAGACGCGCGAAGTGGGATGTCTTCCTCCCTTGAACCTCTGGAGGAAGCTCGAGCAGGTCGCAGGCAAAGCTAGCTGGCCAATCAGAGGCCGCAGAACCCCGCGAGCGCACGAACGTGGTTGATTATGTCATCACCAGCCAGTTAGCGCTTTAGTTAAAGGCTTAACCAGATCTAGTTAAGAGGCTTAAGTAAAGCCAGTTAAAGAGGCCCCCGCTAAGCAGGTCAGGCCTCGCAGCGTCTCCGTTAAAGGCAGGCCCTAAGGACAGGCCCCTAGGCCAGGGCAGTCACAGGGATGAGGCCCTGATAAGGTCAGCGCCCTTGGGCCTGCGTCCACCAGAGCGTGGCCTCGCCAAGTGACTTGCCACGGCTGACTGGCCTGCTGCGACTCGTCTGGACGTTAGCACCCGCGCCGTCACCCTCGATCGACGTGGGACACCAACGTCGACGTCAACTAGGCAGCAAGGGACGATATGTGATGTGTATGAAGCATCTCATGCGGTGTGTGGAGAAGAACAAGGGCGATTTTCCCTGACTGGTGACGCCCCCTTGCAGGGTCGGTCAGTTATGACTCTTTTCCATTTGCTTCCTTGGCTCTTTTCTTGTTCGCTTTGGTTCTTTCGCTCTTTCACTGCTTTTTCTTCATGATCATCTTCTCCCTTCTCTTCTCCTCTTGGTTATCGTCTGATGATAGCAGCGAGGACTGTCTGCTCCGTACAGAATAAGTACTGTAAAATACAGGACAGTACAGAAGAGCTATAAATTACACACAAAGCAAGGACATTTTGCACCAGTAGGAAATGACGCCGCTCGGCTGGGCGGTGTGAGGCTGTTAGTCAGCATGTATATTTCATGTATCCTTCATAGGGTGTGTATGGTATGGTATGGTACAGTGAGGCTCTGTCGCGACAATGAAGAGAACATCGAGATACACAGCAAGGATGGAGTTTTACGCAGAGTATCACAGCGGTAGGAGGCGGTGAAGATGCACAGCAAGTCCCCTTTGCGATATTTGTAACAACGATATTGTGACAAACCCGGCAAGCAGCCGCCTGTACGGAGTAGATAGAAAAAGCAGGGCGATCGTATCAGAGCCAAAGATACCGCTGAGTCAGCTATCGTCCCGACCTCGGGAGGCGCCAGGTCATGTGTTCGCCCGATTCAGTCATCTCAACCTCCATCGCTCGACTTCGTCTTCAACTTCATCTTCTCCCTCTTCCGCTCCTCTGGCTCGCATCTTCGTCGTTATATCTTCGTCTCCCCGTTCCGCTGCTCAGAGACGCCGCTGGTGGTGCTGGAGCTTTCCCTCTGTTGCGTCTGCATAGCCCGCCTAGCGCATATCTCTCGGTTTTAGTGTGGCCCATCCCTGTGGAGGAAGCTTCCCGGCGGTACCTAGCTCTCCCCCGTCAAACCTCCAAGCAACCAACTGCAGCATCCAGCACGCAGCCAGCCTGCATCAAACAAACCACGTCTGCGGCGCTTCACTCCTCTGCTGGTTTCTCGTTTCTTCTTCTTCAGTCGCTTCTGCCTGGCCAGAGATTCTTGCTACCTTTTTTTTTTCCCGCTTTGGATCTCCTAGTTACCACCCAGTTCTAGAACCCAGCATCCACCCCCAAAAAGCATGGTAGTCAGAGGCACCACCGCATCTGCCTGTACCGAGCCAGCTCAATAACCACCTCGACTTCTTCCCTCCTCTACGTCCCTTTTCGCCTCTCCCTCCTTCGCCTCCTTCAACAGGAACAAACAAATCCTAGGGTGCTTAGGCTATGTTATCATGGCCTGTGATTCATCCCCTTCCCACGCCTCTTTTGCTCCCTCTGCTGGAAAGTAGATAGACACCGCTACTACTACTACTACAACGACGACGACGACGAAAGTCATTTATCTTCAGCCTAACACCAACAGTTCACAACGCCATCAGTGCCGGAGAGGCTGTCGATAATGCATCAACGACCGCGGCCAGCGCCCCGGCCGGCCTCAGAGGCTCCTGCTAGTCCTCCCATACCGCCAGATGGGAGACCGCTCTCAGACAGGCAGGTCCAGGACCAGCTTGCAAAGCTCAACCAGATTATCCAGGTACGTTGGTAGAATAGGGATAGCAAGCCAGAAGCCGGAATGAGAGAAATATATGCTAACGGGGTTTTGTGCAGAACTACCATACCAAAGCGGCGCTGATTATTCTTCATTCGAGGACCGTTTTACGGCCGATATACAGAGAGGGTGTCAAGAGAGTAAATAAATGGGTACTTATAATGCTCTCTTCTTTGGTTTCTTTATAGACATATTTCCGTATCGTTCTAGCTAACGATTGCAGTTCAATGTCGAGATCGATGACACAGATACCCTGCGAGAAGATCTAACCCAATGGCGGAACTGTACCGCTACCGATAAACGGCCCGAGCCGCTCGTCATCGAAACCTTTATAGATGGTTCTCAACTCCAAAAGCACGAAGAACTTGTCATCCTAGACGACCACGGGAAGCGATGGGACGTCTTCGATGCTCTCTCTGATACCCCTGGAGGGCCAACAGAGAAGAAACACGGCGCAAGGAACGAGGTCATCCTGGAAAGATGGTTTATCGAGTTGGGCCCTTCCACCTCGGCTGGTCTGCCAGGAGACATGACGC